GGCTGACCGAGGGACGCTCGAACATTACATCAGTCTCTCACGTGGACCGAAGGCAACCACACGCCTCAGCAAGATAACACACTTTAATTTTGCCCCCGAAGATGCTGTCCAAAGCAAAACTATTGGCCACAAACCTCTGTGCCCTCAGTGCTAGACAGCATGTTGCACAGCGTGTCCAGCAGGTGAGTGGAAAAAGACGAAAACGTTTCCTTTGATACACGACTTGGGCTTTTCGTGTTATGTGAGCAGACGACGCCATGAACGCCGGCATCTCTCACGATTTCTAATTTAGGAAGAATTTTCTTTGCTGTTTGTTTTCTCTTGCTATAATTTTTGGTTTACGAATGGGGTAATAGGTAATTTATTATTTTTATGCTGTCTTTAAAGTATTTAATCGGAATAAATGGATATGAGATAACACGTGCTGTGAACAGCAAATTGTGTAACCTTGAAATCCACTTCTGTTTCTATATATTGTAAATACATGTTAAACTCCCGAGAACAGTGAATCTAACCTATGAATCCTATTTTATTGCTGCCAAAATAGTTAGATTATTTTTCAGTTCAGAGTTGAGTAGCATCGTGAGGGTAATTCCTCCTTTTGATTTTTTTCTACATTAAAATATAGTTTGGTTCTTTGTTCTGTAAGTTTAGATTGATGACTTTTGGAATAGTTATGAAAATCCAGGCTTAGATTGTGATAATAACTTTGCCAAATACCTTCGCATGACCAATTGTTTCATTCAGCAACTAAGTTTTGAAATATATTTTTTTGAGTGGATTATTCCTTTGCTGTTTTGTGCTTTAATGCTGCTGTTCTGTCCCATGTAATTGCTTGATGAGTGACATACCTTGTACTTCACGACATGTAAGTCCCTTAAATGTGGAAGCCTAGGCTTGGCATGGTATTTTTGGTAAGAATTAGTATATCCACACAGCAGAAAATAAATCTAAACCACTTAACCTAAAATCGTGATTTTCACCATGTCAACAGCAACCTGTAAATGTCTAAATAAAATAAATACCACTTAAACATCTATAAAAATTGTAATTATTTGAAAGACGAGCAGAAATTTGTCATGGCAATAATAGAAAAGCCGTATAATACAAAAAAGAGCCTAACTTTGTCCGAAGGACACCGAATGAAACACCGCTCGAGTAAACAAGCGCAACTCGCAATGCGTACAAACTCGCTATCCGATATACAAATTTTTCACAAATATAAAATGTTATTATGCTAACCAAAATAACGAACACAAAATATCAAAATAATTCCCACCCCACCGCTTATTCGCACGATGTCAATTTATTTAAAAAATAATTGAACAATATACAACTCATACCGTCACTCTACAGAAGAAATGCGGCGTGGAGGAACCAATGAAATCTTTTATTCTCCGCCGGATACAACATTTTTAATATGTGCTTGGCAAAGTACCCGGTGAAGTGAAATTGCATCCATCTTTTCTATTAGCATTTTGGGGGAGGTTTGTCGCACCTACATGAATATATTGTTGCATTTGGGGCATTTAAGGGCTACCGATATGAGGGCATGCGACAGGCATATTCCTCCATGAATTGTCAGTACCTACAGTAAAAAAGAATGTTTGAATAACACTATTTATCAACTATGATAAGATACACTATTTTTTCAATTGTCTTTAAAATACCTATGGTAATTGTTACAGAGCGACGCACCCTCTCAGAGACGAAGTCGAAAAAAATGATGTTTTTCTGCATGAAATCATATGTTTTCATCGTTTGGCGTTTTCTTTTCGTATGAATCGTTCAGGAGATTGAGTACCATTTCTCCATCGACGATCTTGATTTGATAGTCCCATTAGCAAGGGAGGGCATGAAGTATATCAGGGAAATTATGGGGTAAAACAAACTTAAATAAGAATAGTAACGATCAAGTTGCGTAAAACTAGTACAAAAAGCGCTGGTAAAATTTCAGATTCTGCCAGCCTCCTCCTTTCGAAACGATTGTTTTTGGAATGGATAATTCCTTCGCTGTTTAGCGCTGTAATGCTATTGTTCTCCGTCGCATCTGACTGCTTGAGCAGTGACGTAACTTGTACTTCTCGACGTCAGAGTTGCTTAAGCGAAGGATTTGCAATATGTTTGGGAAAAATTTCCATGATTTACACAGCAAAACATATCAAAACAACTAACAAAAGCTTTAAATCGTGTTTGTTTAAACTCTACGGAAAAAAGACGCATGTTTCACCAATATAATTACGGTCTACTAATGTGCGGTTAAATCTGGGCTTACTTTTTGTCTGGTTGCCTCACAATACAAAAGCAATAAATTTTGATTACACAAAAATAGCCGATATCCCGAGCGTGTATGTCTGCCGCGAAGGAACGCCCATGAGCCTGAAGAGCGAGGTACATTTTCGTCATTAATAGCTGGATAAGAGCCCGCTGTAGCTTAACCTATGATACATCCTACTATTTCTTCCGTTCTATAAAATGGCGTTGTCCATTTCCCTCTATC